CGCCAAGTAATCCAAGTAAGTCATTCATTCTATAAGAAAATCTTCATAGTGGCCACGTACGTGGACGGCATCAGAAGAATTAGCCCTGGAAACATGGTGCACTGGTCGATCTCAATGGGGTCTTCGAAGGATCGTGTACCATAACGACCCTTACTGGAAAGCTAGTTCCGAGGGGATTTGCACAGTGGTAGCTAATGCCTCTAGAAAACTATCCAACATTAAATCGATTCACGAAATTGCGTAAGAGCTTCAGGCTGAAGCTCTTACGGTAGACCTCCTTGAGCCTGACGACGGTGACAGATGACGTCATATTCTGAAGACGGTGAGGGCAGTGAAGGAGAGCCTGCGTACACTAATAGAGGAACACTTAGGGAATACTCTGCTGAGGAACTCCCGTCAACGACAGCAATCTCTGCGAAGAAAAAAGAGCCGAAGTCCGACATAGGCAAAATGTCTTTTTTTTTTGGCCCCCCTGTATATATAGCATAATCCCTACTATATATAATGCGCTATGTCTGTCTGTCCGTCTGTCACGAAATTCGGTATCAAGCGAACAACAACCTACAGGGTCCAGGTCAAGTTTGGGATGGGTATACCATATCCCTAGAAGTAAAAAACACACATCAGCCAAGCGGAGCCCCGCCCACAGTGGGCGTGGCGTGCATCGGTTGATTTCAAATTCAGTCACAAAACAGCCTCGAGACCGGGACAAAAGTGGGCATAGGTGTGGGTTGGTAAGCCAGATCGAACTGAGGAGACCCACCCTCGGTGGGCGGGGCGTTCTCTAGAAAATGGGTGCTCAGTGTGAAAATTCATAACTCGGTTAAGAGGAAGCCTACAGACCAGGAACGAAATTAGTGCAGGGGAGCAATGCCTAAGGTATTTCCACCACGCATGATGTGAACGGAGGCCCGCCCACAATGGGCGGAGCGTGTCGTGAAGCGGACAGCATTTTCTACAAGAGCTCATAAATCGGCTCCGAGATGACTTAGAGACCGGAAAACAACGGATAGAGGTCAGGAGGGGAGGGGAAGCTAAATGTCAGGGAAGGGCGTGGCTTACATCAAAGTGGGCGGAGTTTGCAATTAGGCTTATAACTCGGTTCCTAGGAGTCCCGGAGTCCGGGAAAAAAGCGTATGAGGGTTGGCAGAGGGAAAGGGGTCAACCGTTGTTGGCGGGCGGAGCATGCACCAAAGTGGGCGGGGTTTGCCACAAAGATACGTAGCTCGATTTCGTCCCCTACAAGACCTCATAATTCGGCTCCGAGATGACTTAGAGACCTGAAAAAAAATACGCCAGAGGTGAAAGTAGGAGTAGAGGTTGAATGTGAACGCTGGGCGTGGCACACCCGGATGTGGGCGGAGTTTGCCACCGCTCTCATAACTCGGTTCCTAGAAGTTCCGGCGACCGGGGAAAATGTGCATAAGTATTGAGGTATGGAGTAGGGTTGAATGCCATTGTTGGGCTAACCATGCACCAAAGTGGGCGGGGTCTGCCTCAGAAATTCGTGACTCATAACGCCATTTACAAGACCTCATAATTCGGCTCCGAGATGACTTAGAGACCTGAAAAAAATATGCCTGAGGTGAAAGTAGGAGTAGAGGTTGAATGTGAACGCTGGGCGTGGCACACCCGGATGTGGGCGGAGTTTGCCACCGCTCTCATAACTCGGTTCCTAGAAGTTCCGGCGACCGGGGAAAATGTGCATAAGTATTGAGGTATGGAGTAGGGTTGAATGCCATTGTTGGGCTAACCATGCACCAAAGTGGGCGGGTATAACTTCGTATAATTTCTTGTTTATTTATGCAAAGTCAGAAAGTGCTCAATGAAAATAAGTTGTCAATTGGTGCTCTCTGTTCGAATGGCAGCTCTATGAGTCAATGTGACATACTCACTGTTGAACTGCCGAGGATTGAAGGGCCGATGCTGCAGCACCCGGATCGCCTTTTCATTGTGTAGAAGTTGGAAAACGCCTTTTGTTGTCGTGAACCTGTTGCACAATTACACCCCAAAGTTTTCTGTGGAGTTCAGATCAGCACTGCGTGCAGGCCGCTCCATAACGACCACTTTCTGTCGTTAGAACCACGCAGACGTTGACCTGTAAGCATGGACACTTGCACTGTCCTGCTAGAAAACTAGCTTTTATCGCCGCCTGCAGTTTCAGGAACAGCGATAAGTTTGATCCCAAAGCTCTTGTCAGTCCATTCGGTAAAAAACAAATGCGAGCTCCAGCTTCCTGTCCCACAGAAACCCCTCAAACTATCAGCGAACCGATACCAAACCTGCGCTTGCTGATCTGCACTGGGTCTTTCTTCAGATCACCCCAGTTACATCTGACATTACCGTGTGCGCCCGGGTTATGATTCTTTTCGTCGGAGAAGACTATTCAAAGAATTTGAAAGACTCTACAGTGCAGAAACTGCGCCCAGTTTTACAGCTGCACCTGGTTCCAATCCGTTGCCGCGTCCTTTCGAGTAAAACCAAGACGAGCCAACTCGAGTGCTCCGGTTAGATGTGGGTCTTGCTCATAAATTCTCTCACAATGTCACCGCTCCATTTGATAGCCCTCACTACGGTGGATTTCGAGACAAACACCTACAAATCTGCACGGATTTGGTTGATGCTGCATGTGTTGCTGGAAACTTTCCTCCAAATTTCTCGTTAATCTCTGACGGATAGCTTGCGTTGGCGTCTAGGAGTTTCGCCGTCGAAGGTAGTCTTCAGAATCTCTGAGATGAAAGCAAAGCAAGCAGTGAATCCTGTCGATTTGTCTGGTGGTTTGCCGATGCCTGAGTCCGCCATCATGGAGAGCCCGAAATCGAGTCTTTTCCTCTACAGAAAGACGGAGACCACGGGCATCGCGAGAAGACTAGTCGGTTCTACATCTGGTACAAACACGCACTTCGGTTGGATCAGGAAAATTTATTTCGAGAAGTATACTAAGAGTGGACGTATATTATGAAACGGTCGAAAATCGAAGAAGTACTTCTAAAAAATTTCCCCGTAATCTTACTTCTTTGAGAACGTGCTTTTCGTAGTTTTCTAACACAGTGAATCCGATAATGTATGCTGCTAAATTGGGCAAAGTCTTCAAGAAACGTTTTTGGTAAAATCAGGGGTGGACGTATACCAATGAAACGCACTGTATAATCGTATATCAATATTATATATACTTGAATTACCTTGATGTCCGCTCTTCAAGGATTGTCTCGCCCATCCTTGCAGGACGCATCTATGCCATTCGTCTCGATTTCTTGCCATTTGTTGCCATCTCTGTCCAAATAATTTCCTAAACGGATCACTCCACCTGGCTGGGGGTCTTCCTTGCGGCCTTTTAACTCCGCGGGGATACCAATCGGTCACTCGTGATGTCCAACGGTTGTCGTTAAGACGGGCAACATGTCCTGCCCATCGCTTCTTCGAATCGTAAATGGTCTCGATGACATCTTTTACGCCGGTACGCCTTCGAATCTCACGTGCTGGAATTTTATGCTTCAATGTCACAGCGCACATCGTTCTTTCCATGGCTCTTTGCGTTGATGCCAATTTTCTTTCTTCATCTTTTATCGTA